AATGTTTGAGTTACTTCAATTAATTCATTTTTAAAATGTTCTTTGACCTGACTGACGATAATTTGAATAAATGAAGGATTATTTAATATATTCTTAACCATTTCGCTTAATTTAAAATCAAAATCTTGACTTGTCGATGTAGTTGATGCTGAATCAGACATTGTTTTTTTACTTTGTTTAATCGCTATATTTTGACGGTCAGAAGAGAAACGATACATAACACGCGGCTGTGCTCTTTTAGTGTTAAACACGTCTTATCATCACAGGACAGAAAGAGAGAATGCAGAACAGAAAGAGACTTTAAAGTTCGATATGCATCGTAAGCCTTTGCCGTCGGGTAAATAACAATCCAATCAGATTACTTGACTCTATGCAATTCATTTAATGTTGATCATAAATATTGCTCTAACGAGGGAACCTCCCGAGATGATAAATCGCTTTTTGATCGAAATCTGGTGGATTATAGGTTATTGACCATGCTGATGCCGAATATCGCCACGGTAGTTCCTCACAGTCCTTTGAAGATCCGGTCTTCTGGAAAACCAAATTTTTCAGAAACTCTAAAAAGTAACCAAAATATTTCATAACGAGGCATGATTGTAGCTGTAAGTTACAGATTTAGAGCTTTTGTTATAAATTCTATAACTTTGCAAAGAAAGGTCGTGTAGAGCTGGGAGATGTCTCATTCTAATCAGAAATGTGCGCGCTACAATCATGCCTCGTTAAGAAATATTTTGCTTACTTTTTAGAGTTTCTGAAAAATTTGGTTTTCCACAAGACCGGAGTATTAAAACTGCTTTTCCAGCTTCAATATCACGCAGCTCTGCTGGTTTCTGGATCCATGTACTTATCAAGTAGAGAAAAAGTTTTAGATATACTAGGCTGGCCTGATCTGAAGACAGCATTTGACATGCATAAACTTATTCTTTTCAGAGACATATTATTAATAAAATTTTGATATATTTTCATAATGCCATACATTAAATGACGAAAAGCATATCATATTATGATTGACATGTCGTAAGAGTAAATCTATTGATATCAAAAAATATTTTTTAGAAATTCGACATTGAATTCAGCTCTTCGAGTTTTTATCTCGATTTTCATTGAAACATAAACAAGTGTAAGCTGTAACTGAAGCTTCATCAAGAAGGGTTGAACATAA